AGAGTGAGACTCCATCTTAAAAAAAAAAAAAAAAAAAAAAAAAAATTGGCCAGGCACGGTGGCTCACACCTGTGGTCCCCGCTACGTAGGGGGCTGTGTAGGAGTCTGAAGGATCCCTTGCACCCAGGAGGTCAAGGTTACAGTGAACCATGGTGGCACCACTGCACCCCAGACTGGGCAACAGAGCAAGACTCTGTCTTAGAAAAAAAAAACAAAAATTGAGATTTTACACGTAGAAAGAAGTAAAACATCTGAGCCAGGGTCTCTGTCACCCGGGCTGGAGCGCAGCGGCACCACCATGGCTCAGTGCAGCTCCCACCTCCTGGGCTCAGGCAGTGCTCCCACCTCAGCCTCCTGAGTAGCCGAGACCACAGGTGTGCACCACCACAGCCAGGTCGTTTTTTTATTTTTTGTGAGATGGGGTCTACGTGGCCCAGGCTGGGTTCAAGAGATCCGCCCCTCAGCCCCTAAGGTGCTGGGATTACAGGCAGGAGCCACCACACCTGACAGTAACGTGCCAAGTAAACACTGCCAGCATTCTCCCAAGACCCTCGGGAAACAGCAGGCTTTGGAACTGATGCTGCTGGACACGGAGGCGCTGAGGCTGCGGCGGGGTTAGCATCCAGTACAGGACGGGGGCAGAGGCTCCCTACTGGGACCCACCTTGCCCTGCAGCGGCCACGCCACCCCCAGGCCAGCAGGTGTGACCCCCGGTCACGGCCACCCCGGCCCTGAGCACAGAGATGGACACGCATTGCGGCCAGCACAGACACAAGCTGCATGAAATTCAGAAACAAAGACGTGACAAAAGACTTTTTTCCACAAGAATAGGTTCAATACACAAGTGCTAAGTTATAAGCAATTCCAAAGGGAGACGGCGCCAGCTGTGCCTGTCTCACGCCGCCTCTGGGACGGGTGGGCTCCTGCCTGCAGCCGTGACCCACCTTCGGCACATCCCACGCGGCAAAGCCACGGACGGACGCAGAGGCGGGAAGGCGACCACCATGTGGGGAGCCGTGGGCCCGAAATAGCCCCCGCCGACTCTGGCGCCCCTCCCGGGCCACGGTCCCCTCTGCCGTGAAGAGCGAACGCGGCGCGGAGCCGTCACCTACGTGGCTGGTGCAGGAGGAAGCCCCGTGCGAGCCCAAGCGCAGAGCCAGCCCTCCGGCCGCGGGGCCTCCTGCAGGGACTCCAGTCCTGCGCCTTCCACCAGCACAGGAGCACGGGCTTTGGCCCCCAGACCTCAGAAATTCAGAGAAAAGGCTCTGCAGGTCCCCGGGGACCCCCAGTCTGCAGCAGCCAGAGGGGCGCCCAGGAGGCCCTGCCCCACGGAAGCCAGCCAAGGGTGACCCCTCGTGGCCACAGTGAGCAGGCTCCTGACTTCCACTGCAGCAGAAAAGCCAAGCACCTCTGGGAGGAATGTGTCTCATTCTGACTGCCGGTGAACACCTTTTCTTTTTTTTTTTTTTTGAGACATTGTCTCGTTTTGTTGCCAGGTGCCAGGCTGGAGTGCAGTGGCGCGATCTCCACACCAAAACCTCCGCCTCCTGGGTTCAGGCAATTCTCCTGCCTCAGCCTCCCAAGTAGCTGGGACTACAGACGCACGCCACCACGCCCGGCTATGATTTTTCATATTTTAGGAGAGACGGGGTTTCACTATGTTGACCAGGATGGTCTTGATCTCTTGACCTCATGATCTGCCTGCCTCGGCCTCCCAAAGTGCTGGGATTACAGGCGTGAGTCACCGCGCCTGGCGGTAAATACATTTTAAACTGCTGGGACCAAACCGTATCTCCCTGGGTCCTGACCCACGGCCGTCACCCGCCCCGCTAAGCCTTGTCACCACACGGCCAGCCCCACCACCAGGCCCCAGGAACCCACCTGCGGAGGAGCCGGGAGCTCCAAGAATGCAGGCACGGCCTGCAGTCAGCATCGGGTTTGTATTTCTAAGCGACCAAATCTACTAAAATGAAAAACGTGTTTACTAAAACAGATCCAAAGACAACACAGAAGATAAGCTACAAAACCAGCACGCCAGCAGCCCCTCCACGCCAGCCCCGGCGGCACGTGGCCAGGGCAGGGCTGAGTCTCCAGTCTCCTCCGAAGCCCAGTCACACATTTTGGCTTTTGCTTTCCTTTCCAGGTTTTTAAAACCTAAACCCAGGAGCCTGGTGGGTCTGCCTGTGCTGGGCAGCGTGTCCGGCCGGCCCAGGTCACGCTCGTGCCACGCGCCCTCCATGGCGCCTTGGTCTCGGTGCCAGGCCTCACTCCTGCGCGATGCTCCTCAGCACGTACTTGACGGTGTAGGCGAAGGCTGCAAACCCGACTATAACAAACAAGTTCGCCAGGGCGCCGCCCAGGAGTCCGTGGTGCCGGTTGGCCTGCTGGAGCCCCGGGAGGTTTGGGACGGCCCCTGGCGCGTGCCCGTTGAGAAGCTGAATCCCGTTCTGGACAAGGTGTGTCTCCCCGTCTGGAACCACGTCTGGCAAGGGGAGAGTCTGGGGTCTGCTACTGAGTTCGTCTTGTGCTTTCTGTTTTTGTTTAATTTCCTAAGAAAAAAACAGCGAGACACTCAGCTGGTCTCCAACCAGCGCCCTCAGGACCAGCACTCCCATTCCTAGGGGCCCACAGTCCACCACCAAGAACAAGGACCTCGGCTGTGTCCCATCCTGACCCTGTCTCACAGGTGAGGGCCTGAGCAAGGGACTGGCCTCACTGCACCTGCCCCTCTGGGCCCCTGCAGTCAGTCAGATCAGAGCAAGGCTGAGTCACAGGCCAAGACCAGGGTCCACTCCAGTCCCACATGGCTTCGGGCAGCTGCTGTGCCTCCCAGCCACCCCCAGACCATGTAAGTGCCACTCAAGCCAATGAGCTCCATGCCCTTGTGCGACAGGCCCAGCCCCCAGCCCCTGGGTGGTCCGCAGGCCACCCCTCAGGGCCCAGGCCTTCTGTCTCTCCTGCCTCGGGGCTCCCGGAGAGGAGCCATCCTCTGGGAGGGTCTGCAGCTTCAGGATACAAACCTTAAGCTTTGGAAAGAAGTGGAACTGACAGCGTTTTTAACACAGGGGAAGGCAAAACCCACTTCCCACTTTCTCTTTCTTACCTCCACAACTTCAGGAAATAATTCACAAAAGACTTTATCTTTTAAATTAAAGGCTGAACTCTGTGCTGCTAGCTGTCTTTTCTAGGAAGAAAGAGAAAGGAATCAGCCAGAAAACTCACTTTAATTCTTTCAAACTTCTAAAAACAGGTTACTTCAAAGTCAAGAGCTGCAGCCTTCATGCTGTAGAAAGCACTTAATAAGCATGCTCTTCACAGCAAACAGAATCTCAAAAAGGCTCACTGATCTTTCCATTATCAATTAATGATATCACACTAGATTCCTATTAAAAATAGAAAAATAAAACAAGCTAGCTAGAAAGGCACTGTGCTCCCTGCTGGCAAGGCCCCCCAGGCTGTGCCACTGGTGCAGCCTCGGCCCACCCCAAGATCCCACAGCGGAGCCCCTGGTGGGTGTGGGTGAAGCTCGATGCGGATAAAAGCAAGACTGAGAGGCAGAGGGGAACACGAGGCCGAGAGTGCCAAGGAAGCCCGGAGCAGAGCGGTCTCCGGGACGGTGCCGCGGACGGAAACTCCACCCAGCCCGGCCTGCTGAGAAGAAAGGCAGCTGCAACTCAGGAGCAGAAACAGCCCCAGACACAAGGCCGACAGCCCGCCAGGGAGAGCCGCTCTAAACCTCACCGTGAAGTCTGACGTCTCTATGCTGCCCAGGGTGGGGCCCTTCTCCACCATGAAGCTCAGGAGTCCAGTCAGGATGGTGGAGACAGACCAGGCTGGGTTCCACGTGTCCGGGTGGAAATCCGTGATAGAAAGACACAGCCTGCAAAACGGGCCGGTCAGTGGACGTTCCCCCTCGGCCAGAGAGCTTCCTGGGCCCCTCCCGGTCCTTACCTGGTGTTGCACTTAAATCTTCCATTGGGAGTTATCATATAAATACTAGGAGGTTTAAAAGGAAATTCTCTGGGAAAAATTAGTTTTCCATGATAATAGCCACCTACATGGAAACAAAACAGAAAAGGCCTTGTTGTCCTCCACAGCGGGGGCAGGAGGAGGGGCTAGAGGTCTTGCCCCTCCCACACGCCCCCACTCAGCCCAGCTCCCGAGTTCTCGCGGCGGCGGTCTCTGACTAGAAGCGGCTCCCAGGCTCAGTCCCCCGCCTCCCCGGCCTCACTCTCCAGTGTCACTTCCACCCCACTGTCATGACCACTCCGACCCAACGCCCCTGCACACCCTACCTATACCCGCACACACACACCCCAACCAGGAGCAGAGGGGTTGGAAGGGGGCCTGCAGGGCCTCCCTGCAAAGCCCCCAACATATCAGGAGCTCCAGGTCCAGCTGAGGCTGCCCCTCGCAGAACTGGGGTCCC